ATGTTTTCATCATATTCTGTAACCCTAACTTTTTTGCTACCCATCCTTATTCAGTTTCATCTCAATTACTAATCGGTTCTTGGAAATATTTCATAATTGTTGTTGAAAATATGTAGAACAGCATCCTTAAAGGCATAGTTCAGGTGTTTCAAAATGAGTTTCTGTAAGGTTAGCACTGATTTTTCCTTTTCTGAGTTAAAAAGATGACAGATCACCTTGTTAAAAAAAAAAAAAAAACATGAACATCCTCAAAGTCAGAAAACCAAAAAGTTGGTCCGACGTACAGTTTGTCAAACAGCCTCTTTAGCTAATCTGGCATATATTGCCAACTTTAAATCCTTTGGGATAATTTTCCAACAACTACAATACTTAAAGATCACACAGGTCTTCCATATTTTATATTGCTAGACATTTTTAACAAAACACAATAGCTTGAACTATTCCAATAGAGCTAAAGCAGTGTGTGACTCAGAGGTTGTTTCATTTCTCCTGTTCTCTTGCTATTTACTCAAATATTTGCATTAGATTCTAGACTGCTTTAGATTCTCTGATGACGCTGCTATTCTCAGCTGCCCCCTCCTCCTGTTTTAACAAGGTTCTGTTTTTGTTCAGTGTTGTCATGACTACTACTTCATTATTAATGGCAGGAAAACTGAGGAGATGTTGAATGCAATACGTATGATGTACATTTTAGGAGAATTAACCGATCAGGTCTAAAGTCACAGGAAGCAAAGAGAGTTCTTATTTTTAATGAAGTGAAATCTTCTCACATAAAAACAGGCCTTTTTGGTCATAAAAAAGTTTTAACATAAAAATTCAAATCGCAATATTTACCACGCCTTTTATTTTCCTTAAACCACAGAACAGATTGAATTTTTTCTAATTTCCTCATTTGTAAATCTATTGTTTTAAACAGTATATTAATTTCCATCCGTGTTGTTTTGGGCTTTTACTAGAAATCTCAATAAAGTAAAAAGACGTTTTTGGTATCATGCAAAAACACACAGATGTAAACACTTTCAAAACATAAAGCTAATAATCTAAAAAGTATTAAAACAAAATAACAGAATTTTTCCCAGAGTTTTAATGAGTTTGTTTGTTTGTTTTCCATGAAGCTGTTGTTTCTGGTTTATTTCATGAACTATATGCATTAATAAAAAACTTCTAATATTTGAACTTTAGTTCAAACCTGCTGTACATGTTTGTTGAATCCTTGAGGTTTATAACACATATAAACATGAGATTTATTAACAGTTGAATTCTTTTTTTTTTACTGCTACTGTTTGATATAAAAATATGAGTGTCTAGGTGTTTTTATTTTTATTTTTTTATTTAGGAAAAACTGAATAATAAATAATTGTTATCCTGTTTTCTAAATAGAGAGATCATGTTGATGTATTTGGTTTAATCTGCCTGTCCCACTTTTATGAGACCCAGGAGGCGTCAAACGATTCATGAGGACTAGTTTGACAAGCGACAACAGAGTGAAAGGATACGAAGAACAGCAAAGATCACCTTTTCTGAGTTTCAGTGCAGCTGCAAATCTTCATGCAGGACAGGAACATGCAACCCTCTGTTATAATCAGCTGTTTTTTAGTAAACCTCATCCTTCAGACAGGTGAGATAAGATTTGTTATTTTGACTAGAGCTGCCATTTATCCTACTTTAACCAGCTTCTTTTTGTTTCATTCATAAATATATATATGTATAGTTAGATGTGAAGATACCTGTGTACATTCTATGTTAATTTCCATTTTAAGCCTGTTTGTGCTGGTGTAGATGATGCATGCAAGATTTTTGAAAAAAATGTTGCATTTTTAGTGAAAAACAAACGCAGACATTAGCATGATGCAGCAAAGGCCTAATTCAGATCTTTCTTTCTTTTAGTGTGATTACATAGCTGCCTATTGTGCTGCTTTTAAGCTTAAACATGCAGATTATTTATTAGGGTCCCAGAAGTGAAACACCTTTATATCACTCATTAA